GGCCTGGCCTCCAGACAGTCCCTGTTCGTCCGCATGTGAGTCTGGACCCGTCCACCCAGAGGGGGGGGGGGCGCCCTATGGTCATCCCTCTGTGTGTGTGTGTGTGTCTGTGGGTGTGAGTGTGTATGGGTGCTTGTGTGTGTATGTGGGTGTGTGTGTATGTGTGTGTGTGAATCCACATCTGAACCTCCTCCTCTCCTTCTTCTTCTCCTCAGAAATGCTGCTCATGGCTTCTCTCTGATCCCTGTGGACAGTCTGAAAGTAACCATGAAGGAGCTCCTCCAGAAAGCCCTCAAGAAGAGGAAAGGCTCGCAGAAAGGCTCCGGTAGGAACATTTCAGTTACATATATATATATATATATTTCTACTGCTCTTTTTTGTGACGAGCTAACATGCTAACATGCTAACATTCTTCCCTTTTGGCTGAACGTTAAGAAATGATGGTTAGGGTTTTTATTTTTCATTTAATTTCTTTGATTCAGTGCTCATTAAAATCCCCCGGTGCCAGAATCCAGAGATGGACCATCAGTCTCCAGATCCGGTCTCTGTTAGTCAGGAAAAGCTCTCTGAGCTGAGGTTGAGGAGTATTTATTACTTTATTTATCCCACTGGGGCATCAAAACAAACTAAAGCTCCATTTAGGGTAAAGTGATGGAATGCAAGTATTTTTGCTATATTTCTTAGATGGGAAAGAAGATGAAAAGACTCTGTAATGAATAGTGTGAGTTGTGGAAGAATACATCTTATTTAAGACGTTTGAGCCCCTGTTGTGGTGGTTTCAGGACCCATGTACCGTTTGGAGAAACAGATGGAGCCAAACATCGCTGTGGACCTGGATTCAACGCTGGAGATCCAGAACACTCTGGAGTTCTGCCTGGTCAGAGAAAACAGTGAGTATGGGCTTCTCCACTTCAAAACCAGATGTGTAGACGCTCAACTAAAGACTTCACCACAAAGACACGTCCCACAGCTGGTTTAAAGCACTTTAACCCATCTGAATCCCTCCATTATCACCTTATTTTCACTATACTCTGGAACTCTTTCTCATTTATTTCAAAACAAAACTCAAAACCCACCTGTTTAACATTTCTTACCCACTTCAACTCTAACACCCCCCTCATTCTGCACAGTTTGATTCATTTAATGATGTTGATATATTTCTGATGTTTTTATTTGTGATGTATTTATGACTTTGTGTGTTTCTTATGTTTCAATGTTGTTTTAATGATGATGGTCTTTGTAAAGTGTCCTTGAGTGGCATGAAAGGCGCTTTTTAAAAATAAAATGTATTATTTATTATTATAGATCTGTAAATACATATATAGTTCTATATATGTATCTATATATCTATATATAGTATAGATATGTATTTATTTATATTTTTTGTGTGGAAAGTTGTGTATGTATATGTCTGTGTGTTGTTTGTATATCTGGAGCGTTGTTAAATGATTTATTAAATTATATATTAATTATTAAAGTATTTCTGATTAAAACAGTTTAGAATCTGTAACTCAAACAGAGTCCCACCGTTTCTGTAAACCCGTTTAAAGGTTGTCAGCCTTTTTGTGGTTTGTAGTTTTAGCCCTGACCATGACAATGACCCGGGGCGTCCAGGAGTGTGGCGCCGCCTCCTGATTGGTCAGAATCCCTCACATGTCCCTGTGTGTGTCCAGGCTCCCGGGGGGAGGAGAGCTCTGAGGAAGACCCTCCCCTGGACATCACCACGGTCCAGGACATGCTGAGCAGCCACCACTACAAGTCCTTCAAGATCAGCATGATCCACAAGCTGCGCTTCACCACCGACGTCCAGCTGGGTACACACACTCACACACTAAAACACACACACACACACTAGGGATGGGAATCTTCACCACCAAGGCGATACGATAAACATCTCGATACACAGCCAACGATTCGATACATTCACCATTCATGGAGTTTCTAGTGATAAGATTCGATACGATTCTCCAACCTCCTGCGATCCGGTGCGATACAGAACGATCTAAATTTAAAATGCTGCGATACAGTACGATACGATACGATACGATACAATACGATGCAATGCAGAAGAAAACTACACCATGGACTACATAGTTCAAGTCATGGCACGCAAGCTAACTGTGCCTTTTATTTTGAAACAAAGGAAGTGCAACTTAGAGAGTGATTGTCTCTCTGAAACTTTACAAGAAACGCAACTAAAACTCAAAGACACGTTTCTAAAAAGTTATAATAATAGAAGATAATAATCGGTTTGTATCGATGCAGGTAGTTTTATACGATGCATCTCGAGTTTATGTGCGGTTTTTACCGATGCAGACGTTTTCAAATCGATGCAACCGTATCGCACAGGTCGTTCCGATGTTCCGATACGCATCGGTGAATCTTGCCATGCCTAGCACACACACTAAAACACACACACACACACACACACACACACACTAAAACTCACACACACATACAGACACTCACACATGGATACAGACACTCACACATACACAGACACACAGACACACACACAGACACACACACACACACACACACACACACAACCTCCTTCAGGCTTGGTCAGGCTTGCCCTCTCTCTCTTGCTCTCTCCATCTCTAGTCCTTCTCTCTCTCTCTCTCTGGGCGCTACAGAGATGGATCTGAACTGAAGGCCAGCTGTCTCTCCTGAATCGGTTCTATCTCGTGCTTCTATCTCTCTGCAGGCGTCTCTGGAGAGAAAGTGGAGATAGACCCTGTCACCAATCAGAAGGCCAGCACCAAGTTCTGGATCCGGCAGAAGCCCATCTCCATAGACTCAGACCACCTCTGCGCCTGTGACCTGGTGGAGGAGAGGAGCCCCAGTGAGTCCACGGGAGACCCCCCCACACAACCACCAATACACAAAAGGGACTCACACAAACACCCACACTACACAGGAGACACACACCCACACTACACACCAGTGCAGAGCTCACACATTTAAGCTCACAGAGAGAGAAAGGGGCGTGGCCCGCCGGACGGTTGGAGGTGGGGGGGGCTTCTGGGGGTTCTCTGGTTTGTCTCTGACCAGATCCTCTGTTGTCTTACAGGTCACGCTATATTTAAAATCACCTATCTCAGTAACCATGACTACAAGCCGCTCTACTTTGAGTCCGACGCCGCCATCGTCAATGAGATCGTGCTCAAGGTGAGTCTGCGGGGGGGGGGGGGCTCACCAGGACCAGTGGAGTCTAGTGTTTACATTTTACACTCATTCATCACTCTATTTCTTTCTTTTTTATTTGGATCTTTATACTTTTGCCAAGCTATAAATATTAAAAATAAATCTGTAGACGCTTAAATAAAGATGAAGGGATTCAGATTGATTAAAGGGCTTTAATCCCTTTAATCAATCTGAAT